CAGCAGAGCGTGGAGCATGTCTGTGTCCTCAAACCCCACAAGGCTGAGCCAGCCGGAAGGTGCTCACGTGCCGTGCAAATGTGGCGGTGCTTCTCTTTCCATGGCCGAGTTCTCCAGGCTGTGGTAAAAAGGGCAAGATTCCCTTGCTGAACACTTTCAGATCCAGGTTTGCAGAGCATGATTTACTGACAGGTGTACCGCCTAGCCCTGATTCCCTGACACGCACACGGCCTGTCACTGATCCCCTGACACGCACACCGCCTAGCACTGATTTCCTGACACGCACACCACCTGTCGCTGATTCACTGACACGCACACCGCCTGTCGCTGATTCACTGACACGCACACCACCTGTCGCTGATTCACTGACACGCACACCACCTGTCGCTGATTCACTGACACACACACACACACCGCCTATCACTGATCCCCTGACCCGAATACCGCCTGTCACTTCTTTCACCAGCAGGTTTACTTAGATATGTCTGTATGCACCTTGTTCTCTGAGGTGTGTGTGTGTGTGTGTGTGTGTGTGTGTAAAACACTGAAAGATGTCCATACTGGTTACTTCTGAGGTATGGAATTAGGGAAATAAAATGTTTGGGATTTGGGCGTAGACCTCTGCGGTAGATGGCAGGCCGATGGTGTCTGATGTTCTGGATTTGATTGTTAGCACTGAAAAAAAAAGTCAGGGAATAGCCTCCTCTTCCACAGCTTAGCATGCTCTTTCCTTAGGCAACACTAGGCCCATTTACTAAAGGCAGTAAATGATTAGCCCCTCCCCCCTTACCTCCGAGGACTCTCCTTTGGGATAGCTATAACCACAGAAGGCATCAAGACCCCCTAAACCTCACAGGTCATACAGGTCACCTGAGAGGGTACTCCTTTGGGCAGGTTATAAAAAATTACCTGAGACATGAGCCTACACTACTTCTCTCTTGTGAGAAGGTCCCTTGCCCTGTCCCTGTACTGGCAATAAATCTTTTCTTTGTTTTTTGTACCTGGAGGTCTGTGTGGTCTTTCTGGCAAAGTCTAATTTACTCTAATAATCATAGGTCCAGCCAGGGGCATGGCCTGGCCTGGTGTCCCTGCAGAGCTTTCCTTCAGGGAGGTAAAGCAGGACAGCCACACAGCAGGGCGGGAGCATCGCAAAGCCAGGAGGAAGCAGATCGGTGAATCTGCAACTTGTGTGAAGGCAGCAGGCGAGGAATCCCTGGGCACCCTGTGCCCTGCCCAGGACAGGTGAAACGGCTCAAATACCCGAGGAGAAAAGAGAGAAATGCTGGAGATAATTGTAGGAGCTGAGAACACAAACTGGGACATTGTGAAGAGGAAGGGAGAAAATGAGTGACGAGAGATCTCTCCAGCAGGAAGAGGAAAGAGAAGTGTCACTGCTTTTGATGCAAGGTCAAAACCTTTGGTTTAGTACATCTTTCCCACTGACCTGTGTGGATGAGACATTAAAGGCAGGAGAGATGGGGTCAGAAAGGGACAGAGTAGACATGGCTTCGGGGAGGAAAGGGGTAACCCGAGAGAGACATAAGCAAGCAGGATAAAGGGCTGTGTAAATAAAGTGTGGTCATCACCCTGCAGCCATGGCTTGAGAGAAGGGGCCTTGCCCAGATGTTCCATTGCCTTTTCTCCCCCAGGCAAGCCAGCCTAATGTTTCCAGGAAGCTAAGGCTCTTGAGGTGTCTCTTCCTCTCATTCTGCTATTTAGGATGTCTCCAGGAAGCCGAATAATGTGATGGTCTAGAGGGCGGAATTCAGAAATTGGAGGCTGGAATGATCCATCTCTTTATGATACATGGCTGAACATTGGATGATCACTTTCGAGGCCTCACCTCAGTCTGGATTGTATCACATGGTTGAGTTTTCACACCGTGGAGAGAAGGATGGGGGTGCGGTAGAAGGTCATGATAATTGAAGGGCTTTGGAAAGGTGGTGTATAGCAAATTCAGAGGTTCTATGGCCAACCCAACTCTCCCATTTTCCCCATCCATTAGGAGTTCAAAGAGGTAAAGTATGTGAGGCCTAGACTTGGGGCTATAGATTTCTTGAGTCCACTTCCACCTCATATTTAGGATGATGCTACCAAGAGCACCCAAATGGTTATGAACAGGTGTTCTTGTTCATAATGCTAACAACAGTAGTTCGTCACTGTCATGTAATTCACTGGTGATTTCTGTGTCTGTAGGTGATAACTGGAGGCTAGACTTCAGGCTCTCTACCTTCTCCAGCAAGTGAAGTGTACTATTTGGTTCTGGCCATTGGGCTCAGGACCATAGTTCCCAGAACCTCCTCCTTCCCCCATGCATCTTGGTAGCCCGATCTCCTAAACATAGCACGATGAGCCAAAAGCAGCTGTGGGATCCTCACCGCAGAGTCCCTCTGTCCCCAAGTATAAATAGGATGCCATAGAGGATTGGATGGGTGGCCATGTTTTCCAGGAAACCTGCATGAAATTTGTCCTCGGGCATCAACACCAACCAGAACGTAGAGACAATTTTTCAGTTAGAACAGCCCCAGGATGACAAGCCCTTCCCCGTCAGCATGAGCCCGGCACCTTTTAGCTGCCAACGCACAGTGTCTGTGCAGATGGTGTGTGGGAGTTCTGCTGACATCTGCCAACTTTCCTGAGAGGAGGGAGAGGTGCGTTCCCCTCAACTTCCCAGCGTCCAGAGTGTCTCCCAGGCTCCATTTGCTGTGATGGTCAAGGGGCCAGGAAGTGGGTCTAAGCCTCCTATAAACAACTTAGGCTCCCTGGGCAGAAGCCTTGCCCGGCTCTGGGACTTGCTTTCTTGAAAGGTGTTTATTGTCATCGGAGGTGACTGGACAAGCTGGGTGGAGAAGTTGCCAAGTTAGGAGAAGTGGGGCTCTTTCTGCTGCAGTCCTGCGCCTGGCACCTGCAGCGTTCTCTGGCTAAGTGTGTCAGCTTTCCTCAGTGGTTGCATGAGTCTCTCATTGAAGGAGATCTCTGGCTCGCTGTTTCTTCCTACCCGGTCTCTGCAGGGAGTGCAGTTGAATCCAGCACCTGGTGATCAAATGTTTTCCTTGATATTTCCCTAATGCTCAGTCCGCTTCTTCCTACCCTCGATATCTGGAATACTCTGCCCTTATGCATCTTCTCCCAGTCCTGCCAACTTTCTGGGTAATTCCAGATATAGGTAAAGAAATGTGCTCAGGTCAGAGACTGGCACAAGAACAGCGTTAAGTATTCCAGAGAGGAACAGAATAGAAATGGTCTAGTAAACTAGACTGTGTAGTAAGAGTACTGTTAGCACAGGTAGCTAGGGAGGCAGGAGCTAGAACAAGGTAACTTCCAAGACTGCATTGGAACATGTTGGAGTGCTGAGGAGCTGTGGCGGAGGGGTTCATTGGGCAGGGTACATTGTAGCACAATGAAAACCCACATACCTTAACTCAACTCCTTGTATATAAGGAAGGAACATGCAGACACAATGTTGAAGAAGTCACTGACATTGACATCACAGCAAATGGAGCCTGGGAGACACTCTGGACGCTGGGAAGTTGAGGGGAGCGCACCTCTCCCTCCTCCCAGGAAAGCTGGCAGATGTCAGGTGGCTGAGATCCAAGTGTCCGTAGCAAAAGCCATCTAGACAGAGGTTAAATTCATTAACTACTGGATAACGCTACCAGGGTGCTGAAGACGACTACCTTACCCAGTTCTTGCTTGGTGTCTCGGAAAGTGCATGGTGGTAGGAGGGCCACAGGTTTGAGTATTTATGTTGCTAACAGTGTTTGTTGATCAGATCCAAAAGTTTCTGGCTGAGTTTTGGGGGGTCTTTTAAGTATATAATCATATCATCTCCACTAATAAAACATTTTATAAAGATTGCATTCTAAAGCCCTCCATGGCTCCTAGCCTGGCCAGCATTTGACATGACAATCCTATGTGATTCTTAACGGACCCCACTTCCCATAGCAAAGTTGGGACAAGCACTTTGAGGGTGCCATGGTCCAATGGGGAGAGCAGAGAGGGTCAAACGTGCAAGTGTGCATCTTCCCACACCCAGGAAGTGACCACACAGTCACCAGACCATTTGTGGAAGGCCGCAAGGACCAAGCCTGGGGATGCATGTCACTTAACAACGTCACCTAATGGAATTGGAAAACCCCAATCCTGACGGTGTTCATGTGGTCGGTTTTGACCGGAATCACCAATCTCATGTCTCCGGGTGAGCTTTGCTTTGCTAAGAAATTGCTCTTTCAAGTCTATCTTCCTATTCTTTATGGTTCTTTTGCTGCACTCTTAGGTACTGCACTCCAGAAGCTGGAGCACTGTAATGACTGGTAACGGTGCCTCGGCACTAGGGAGAGTAACCACACCCCTGCCGCCAGTGCTCTCCGGGAGGACTGGGACTGGAGCATGTGCCGAGGCTCAGGGAGGAAGTGAATGAGCTGTCTGTTCGAGACAGTGTGTGGGAGGAGGTGGAGGGATGAGGGAGTTACCGGTGGTGGAGAGTTGAGTGCGACACAGGCAGGTGAACTGGAGAGAAGGGTCAGGCGTTTGGCTCGGTCCTCAGTTACCTTGCTGGAAATCTGTCTCTCTCCCTCACTTCAGTTCTAGAGAGATTTCATTCATTTGATAGAGGAGAAGACTGGGTAAAGACAAGCAGAAATTTACAAAATAAGACTAGTTTCTTCTTGAAAGTAAGGGAGGAGTTCCATGGCCCTTTGGTTTTCTTTCTTTCTTTCTTTCTTTCCTTCTTTCTTTCTTCCTTCCTTCCTTCCTTCCTTCCTTCCTTCCTTCCTTCCTTTCTCTTTTTAGATTAAAGAGCTTTTATTAACTGGTTGTAAAATTTCTTTTTCCCAGTTGTCCCTGACAATACCTCCAATACAGCCCTTATTTTTCTGGTTACTGACCTGAATATGAGAGATCAGTTCGCTTTGTTCCTCCAACATGTGAGATCAGGTTTAGATTCTTCTGGCAAATGGAGAGTGTGTCTTCAGGAAGTCCTCCACTCAGTCCACTGGTTGTTAGTTTAACTTCCTCTTGGCTTTTGTTACTCTGGAGTCCAACATACTCTGAGCATGAGTAAGCTGCTTCACAAAATCGAGCAAGAGGATTCTAGGTATCACCAGCCATAAGCTATTCATGAAGACAAAATAAAACCAGAAATAGACTGGGTGGCCCATCTCCGAATGCTGGAATTCATCTCCATACTCCGTCAGGAAGTACAGAACATCTCCATAGATCTGGCCCAGAGAAACCACGAGCTGTAGAACATAACAAACTGGTTGTTGGCGGAAAAAGGCAATCACTACCCACAGGCTGAGTGGTCCCCACATGCTAGCTGTGATGGTCTCCATACAAATGATAAAGTTGTCCCAAATGATGTAACAGCTGTCTCCCTTGGAATACTCTTTCCAGAGTTGGGATAAAAAGTCTTGGTCTCTAAGAAGAGTCTTGTTGTAGAAACTGAACCACCCCTCAATCACCAAGTGAATGAATGCACATACTGCAAACCAGCACAAGGACAGTTTCCGCCAAGTTCCCAGTGGGGCAACTGAAGTACGATTGGATAACAGCCATGTGGTCAAAACTAGGGCTCCAGAGACAGAGAACAGGCCAGCTAGGATATGCCAGGTGGGAATGTCATTAGGCACAAAGTTGTCAAGCTTCAGGTTCCGAGGCCAGTAGGGATGCAAGGGACTTTTGTTGGTGGTCATGTTTCTATGGGCTGGCTGGCTGAGTAACTTCGAGTGACGATCAGGGAAAAGAAAAAGGGAACAGAAATACCTGAGCAGTGTGGTAGCTGCATCTTTCCTCTCAGGCTTCCGACTCCAGTTTTCCTCTTTGGTTTTCTAAAAAGCCTTAATTTATAAGCCAGTGGCTCATATCTGTAATCCTAGCCACTTAGGAGACTGAGATCTGAGGATCATGGTTTGAAGCCAGCCCAGTAGGGAAAGCTCATGAGAGGGTTATCTCCAATTACCGCCCCCCCCCAAAAAAAAGCGAGAAGTGGAAATGCGGCTCAAGTGGTAGAGTGCTAGTGTTGAGCACAAAAGTTCAGAGATAGCACTCAGACCCTGAGATCAAGCTCACAAAAGAAACTGTTAATTTATAAAATTTGTAAGAACAAAGGAGATTGTAACAATGTTTGACAAGAAATGTACTTATCTTACTCATGTAACTGTAACCCCTCTCTACAGCATCTTTACAATAAAATAAAATTAAAAAAAGTAAGAACTTTCTCCTTGCTTTGAAGAGTATATTCCTTCTTCAGAAACCTGAGAAGACCCGAGAAGACCCTGTATGTATTTCTTTTTTGGGGGGAGGAGGGGTGGGGAGGTCTGGTCGTGGGCCTGAACTCTGGGCCTGGGCGCTGTCCCTCAGCTCTTCAGCTCAAGGCTAGCACTCTATCACTTGAGACACAGCCCCACTTCTGGCTTTTTTTCCTGCTTATGTGGTGCTGAGGAATTGAACCCAGGGCCTCATGCATGCAAGGAAAGCACTCTACCACTGAGCCACCTTCCCAGCCCCCCCCCCCCTATGTCTTTCTGAAGGACCTGGTAGCCATCTACTTGAAATGCAAATGTCACAGAGCACGCTTATCTCTCAGTTCCTTCTGGAGGAGGAGTCTAGCTACCTGGGTACCTGGCTCCACCACTGCAAGATCAATTCCTGTTATAAATACAGAAGTCTTTGTTTTCCTGCAAATAAAGCCAATTAGCTAGCTAATAAATCTAACATGAACTGTATTTGGCAAATGAAGCTTTCAAATTATCTTACTTGAAGACCAATTAGTGTTTATCTTCAAAATATGTGTAGACATCAAAACAGAACCTCTGAGAAACCTCAAAAGTGGGAAACTTTATAAATCTAAGTGAATACAGACAGAAAACCAAAACAGCTCAAGTAAATAATGATATAATTAAAACTTCTAGAAAAACAAGGACAAACCAAACCCCAAATCACTAGATGGAGAGAGAAAGCAAAGATTAGGGAAGAAATTAATGAAATAGAGACTAAAATAATACATTAAAAATAAACAGCAAAAAGAAACAATAAGGAAGTGGCGGTGTGGCTCAAGTGGTAAAGTGCTTGCCTTGAGCACAAGAGCTCAGGGATAGTGTCCAGGCCCAGAGTTCAGTCCCCATCACCTACCAAAAAATAAATAAATAAAATTGACAGACCATTAACAAGATTGACAAAGAGAAGAAGAGATGAGATTGAAATCAATAAAATCATAGATGCCACAGGAAACTCAGTCTAGAAGGAACAGGAGTTTTGGGCTCTAAGTCTGAATTCTCCTGGGAAATGGGAAAAGAAAGGAAAGCTCCTGGCTTTTGATTCTAACAACCTGAATTCTACATATCCTCAGTTCTAAGGCTAATAAAACACACAACAAACAAAAACAAACCAACAAAATGGCAGTGTTTGCTGCACTCATGTAGCTTCCCAACTTGCTGAGTTACTTTTCTCTCTCTTCTAGAATATGCAGGAGCAGAACAGCCTCTTAGAACACTGGTAAATGGGAAAAATGTATGCATAACGAAAGTTTTGCATCTCAATTCTATGTGTGTGTGTTTTTTTTTAAGCAATGCAAATTAGAGGAAGTGAAAGTCAATTCTGGTAAATGTTGCCTGTTGGCAACCCACAGAAGGTAGAGCTAGCTCTTGCCCTCAGGGAGTGCTCATCAGATTCTCAAGGTGAATATTGAAAATATGAATATTGAAAGAAGACAAAGTAAATTTTTTTGAAAGTAATTCTTTTTTTGGGGGGGTGTCTGGTCGTGGGGCCTGTTCTCTGGGCCTGGGCACTGTCCCTTAGCTCTTCAGCTCAAGGCTCTCTCTACCACTTGAGCCCAGCGCCACTTCCGGCTTTTTTCTTTTTGCGTATGTGGTGCTGAGGCATCGAACCCAGGGCCTCAGGCATGCAAGGCAAGCACTCTACCACTGAGCCACCTTCCCAGCCCCGAGACAAAGTAAACTTAATGCATGGAGAGGTAGTATTCGCTGGAGCAAATGTTGCCCCCGTGAGTGAGAGTTCCAGGATCCCCACACCAGGTGCAGCTGTGGGGGATGGTTTGATCTGAAATGCCCTTCAATGACCACGTGCCAAGGAACATGTGGGCACGTGGTGGGAACTTGATGAGGCAGGGCTTTGCTGGAGGAAGCAGGTGATGGAGGGTGCAGTGGAACGGTGAATCCTGCACCGGGCTCCTTCCTTGCCCTTTCTCTGCTTTCTGGTACCATAAGGTGAGCAGCTAGGCTCACAAGATGCCCCCACCAAAGGCCAAGAAACAATGGAGCAAGGTAATCATGGAATGAAATCACAAAACAACAAAAAAATGTCTTCCTTTAAGTTGATTTTCTCAGGTTTTTTCACCGCAATGGAAAGCTGATGAACACTAGTTATATAGTGTTCTTTAAGTCTGTAAGCCAACAGGGAATAACTGGAAGGGGCTTGGGTTTGGATCAGGTCTTTTTTTCCATTGCTGTTGATTGGTTTTTCCAATCCCTTTTCTTCTCCCTCCTTCCCTCCCTCCCTGCATTCCTCCCCCTCCCTCTCTTTGCTTTTTTTATTTTATTTTATTTTTTTTATTTTGATGTCAGTCCTAGGGCTTGAACTCAGGTCCTGGGTGCTATCCTTGAGCTTTTTTTTTTTTTTTTTTTTTGCTCAAGGCTAGTACTCCACTGCTTGAGTCATAGCTCAACTTCCAGCTATTTTTGGTAGTTAATTGGAGATAATAGTCTCTCAAGCTTTCCTGCTGCTGGCTGGCTTCGAACCATGATTCTCAGATCTTAGCCTGATGAGTAGTTAGGATTACAGGTGTGAACCACCAGTGCCCATCTTCATTTTCTTTAATCTAAAGAGCATTACAGGATTATGCAATTAGATAACTGGTGCCCAATGGAGGAAGTGCAAAGAACCTTGGTTTCTCTTGTATCAGACTTCTGTATATAGGTGGTTCTGTCTAGGACAATGGCACTGACATGTCCTCATTGTTTCCTTTCTCCTCCTGAAGCTGTCTTTCCATCCTCTAGTTATACATTCTCTTGAGCATATTTTCCCAGACAGAGATGGGCCAGAGAAGTTCCACTCTCAGTTCCTGAGAACCCATGAGTCAGAGACTTGTCCAGCTAGTTTTCTATGTGAAAAGGCTCAGCATTCAAAAGACCTTCTTATTCAAAGCTACTCAAGGCTGTGGCATAGACTTTTGGACCAGAGTGGCAAAGTTCTGTGATCCAGAATTCAGTTCTAGAAGAGAAGAGGCCTTTCCTATGCTTTTTTTTTTTTTAAACAGAATATTTACTGGAAATTGAGTCACAGACTTCCACCTAGGAAAAACACAGTGAGCATTTGTCCAAATTTTGTGTGATATCAGAAAGTCTGAAGATTGTAAAAGGCCCTTTGCTACAGGACACATCAATATACAACACCCTGGGAAGAGCTAATAGGAGAAGAGTGTAAAGAAGAAGAGAAACTGCAATGGCCAGAAACACAGATGTTCAAAATGGGTTTGTGAAATGAACAGAAGATCTTTTTTTTTTTCCCCCTCCAAGATTTTTTTTTTTTTTTTTGGGTCCGGTTATGGGGCCTGAGCTCTGGGCCTGGGTGCTGTCCCTCAGCTCTTCAGCTCAAGGCTAGTGCTCTACCACTTGAGCCACAGCGCCACTTCCGGCTTTTTTCTTTTTGCTTATATGGTGCTGAGGAATTGAACCCAGGGCCTCAGGAACCCAGGGCCTCAGGCATGCAAGGCAAGCGCTCTACCACTGAGCCACCTTCCCAGCCCCTTCCCACTCCAAAATTTGATCTACCATGAAAGTAGCACTTCTTCCATAAGTTCTTTTGAAGAGACTTATTAGGGAATTCTTAAGAGCATATATGGCTAAGAGACAGGATTTCTTCTGTGTGTGTGTGTGTGTGTGTGTGTGTGTGTGTGTGTATTTGTGGGCCTTGACTAGAACTCGAATTTCAGGTCCGATGCTCTTACTCAGCTTTTTCACTTATAGCAAGTACTCTACTACTTGAACCAAACCTCCATTCCTTGCCCTGCCCCCTCCCCCTGTCCTAAGGGCTCCATTTCAATGTATCTTTGTCTAGGTCCAGTTTTAGAGATGATTCTTTTCTTCTTCATCTCTGTTGTCCCATGACCTCTTCCACAGCCTACAGCAGACAGACTCAAAATGATCACACTGTGACTTTTCCATAAATCATTGAAAATTCTGTCTGTTTTTAGGATTGGACATTTTCAAAATGTTCAAAAACTCAATTCTATGTAGCTAGAAAACTTGTACTCACTTGTTCTGAATCAGTAGATTGTTTTTCCTTAATTAGGTCTACAGGATGCTGTTATATCTTTCTATTCCTATTCAATATTCAAATTCATAATTTTGTCCACACACAAGACTTCAATTTCCACCTGTCTACCTATATAGCTCAGACATTTCTATTTCCAAGACAGTTCCCTACTGCGGGTGTTGATTTGTATCACTGTCTATTTTCATCTGATCTCAACGTCAATGTTTCCAAATATGAATTCACCTTCTTCCTTTACAAATAAGTCTCCTTCAGAAAATGACACCACTATCATCTTACTACTCAAGCCCGAATCATGGAAATCCATTTTCTTTTTGACCCACATGAAAGCCTTCACCTTCCTTTGATTTTTTTTTTTTTTTTTTTTGGGTATGGTCGTGGGGCCTGAACTCTGGGCCTGGTCGCTGTCCCTCAGCTCTTCAGCTCAAAGGCTAGCACTCTACCACTTGAGCCACAGCATCACTTCTGGCTTTTTTCTTTTTTCTTATGTGGTGCTGAGGAATCGAACCCAGGGCCT